ATCTTGTCAGAACAAAGAGTATTAGACAAGTGAGGGATACATTACTTCAAGGTTTAGGGGGAAGAGACCAGCATGTACACATACAGCACATACGCTGTGGCCCTGGTGCCTTGGCGCCTGGAAAGGGAGTTTTATCATCAAAGGAGGACCAGCGTTGGCGTCCCAGGAAGAGGGGCATTTAATCTTCATTTTGAACATGGACATTCTTTACTTCTGGTCAATGTGCCCTTTTCTTTAATAATTAAAGCCGATGTATCATGTATGTTTGATAGGCCACAAACAGGCTGTTCTAGTTAGCATCCAATTCAAGTGAACTCATATATGAGCCAGAATGACTCCCCTCTATCTCAATATGTGAACATTGCTTTTATCACCACGCCCCCACCGCCAGGTTGACTCAGGTGCCTGATGGCTGCCCCCACCTGCAGCACCTTCCTCTTTAGCCTCCCTTTCGAGTTGGTGCCATCAGAATGGATCCATTCACCTAAGCCTCCTGCAATACAACTTCTTCACCCAGAACGTATCAACAATCACCAAGGCCTACCGATTTCACCTTCTTAAAAGTTTCTCAGGTCTCTTTCCTCATCGTCAGCTATTGCCTGGCCTGTGGCATTAAACCCCAAACTGCCCTCTCTGCCCCTGGATTTGTTTGCACATTTGTTGATTTGGGGTGGAACATTGTCAGATCCTCAGGAAATATACTGATACCTCAGAAAAAAAAAAACCAGCTGGAATGATAGGACTGTTTAAATTTAATAGGATCTCTATATTCAAAAAGAATTATATACGATGTTGCCATCGCTCAAAATTCCTTTTGAAATATCCTGTAGACTGTCCCATTATATAACCTGTTATGTATCCTCAGTGATGAGAAATGTATTTATATTGGAATCATAGGAGCATTATTTGACTTCTAGGAGTGATTTTTAGCCAGTATGATGAATGGTCAAAATGGGTAAAATCATATGAAGTACAAAAAGAGACAACACACAAAAAAATAATTAGACTAGTTTATTTTTGTGCTTCATAAACTGGCTATAACAGCAGTTTGGATGATGAAATTCCTGAGTTGTTTTAATTGCTTCATTGGAAAGCCACCCCAAGTGGTTGTGTTGAGAGACAGTACCATTTTAGATACATGAATTATAGTAGCTTTTAAAAAAATACAGTCTCATTACTTATACTTTACATAATTTTTCTTAATAATAATGTTCATCACAACCTGGTTAAAAAAGCTTAAGTTATTTAATATTATGAAATAAGGCTAAAATTGTAAATATCTACTGATAAAAAAAAAACTAATAAAAGGGTACCAAAACAGTTGTTTTGTGAATTAAAAGGACTAGTGTAAGGTTTAAGCCTTAAAAAGGTACTGTAGCCCTTCAGGACTGATTTCTTATCTAAAAATAAAAACTGTCCCACCCACCTTGATATTCTAATTCACAATTTTAAACAAAATAGTGATTTTTGCATGTAAATTTTTGTCATTCATACTGTTACAATATCATGTATTAATATAACTTATTTTTGTCATTTTGGAAGAAACTTATAGATAAAATACATTTCATCTCTACATCAGAAAGGACCAGGATACTGACACAGAAGCAGGTTGTGAGAAAAGATATATAAAGAAAGGAGAGAAGAAAATTTTTTAAAATTTAGACTGTTCTTTTCTAACAAGGAGGCATAGCTCCCTTTGAAGAGAATTCACTCCTAATCTTGTGCAGCAGAACCAGTCACATTAACCACAAAATATTTAGTCCTTGTGGAAGTTTGAGAGGGACACTGTTCTACACATTTAGAGGACCTACTGATACGGGAATTGTACTGTGTGCTGTGATGCACTGTGGGTAAAATTTCATGGAGAATATCCACTCTCCATCCTTCCTCGCCATTTTCATACTGTCCCTCCTGTACGAAATGGTCCTTTCAGAATTGTTCCTCTCCTTATGATAGCATCAACTCAGCCTCAGTGGAGAAAATCCAGTCCTATGTATACTTAACATATAAAAAAGCAATTAATGTTTTAAATTTGGAACTAGTGTCAAGCTCTTTTTTTTATGTAGGGGAGGTTAGTTGAATGTCTTGTTTCTTCTATCTCGAATGATACCTATGTAGCAGGTAAAGGAAGATTATTCTCTGTTCTAAATTTTTATGGGTTTTTTGATGCAGAAAAAAGTCACCTTAAACGGTTTCTTGGACACGCTCATGTCAGATCCTCCCCCGCAGTGTCTGGTCTGGCTGCCCCTTCTGCATCGACTGGCAAATGTTGAAAATGGTGAGTAGTCACTGCTGAGCTAAGGTGGTTTTTTTAATTATTAAAATTAGGCCATCAAGTCTACAGTTATTAAGCCAAGGTCACTGCTTTAGCGAAGGCTATTTAGTAGTTTGGAGTTTTAATAGAACTGAACTCCCTTCCTGGTCAGTATAGCCTTATAGGTGCACTGCAAAATTAGGACTGTCTGTCCTAAAAACGTATTAAATCTCACAGTCTCCCTCTCAGTTACACATCCAGTGTGGCTTAAAGACTTGCTATAACAGAAGGAGAATCTCAATAAGAAATGTTTTAGGTATGAACATCCAGCATTGGTATATCTGGCATTGACTGTTTCTTCCTAGGCACTCGACCAAGAATAGATGGAGTAGTTGGAAAAAAACTGAGTGGTAGCACCTCGCTAATCTTTAGTTATATGCTCCAAATTGTAAGCTTTCAATGGTTGTAGTTATGTAAAAGAATGAGTAATGTAACTTCTGTAATGTGCTTTTTTAAAATAAAAGTAAGTATTTCTGTGATGAAAGTTGTTACCAATGGCATATCCAAACTTACATATGAAATACAGTTCAGAACCCGATTTAAAGAAATTGAAACATGTAATAATTCAGTGCCTCCATCTGATCTTTAGATGTTCTTATTTATTGTTTAACTCTGGAAATTCTCCAGCCTATAATTTATCCCGTGTCTCTTACTAGAATCTTAACTTCTGCACATTTCTTTAATAGACATTGGGGTCAAAGTTAGCCTAATTTTAAATCCCCGTTTAGAACATTTGGCATCTGCCCTAATCTGCCTCTCTGAAAGTTATAAATTTATTCTGTTCTGCTCATGGAGAAGATTTAAAGAATGAACTTACTAGTTTCTCTGTAAGCACTACCAGAACAAATTTTTTTTAAAAGATTCAGTTGTTTCAAATCTTATTACTTTTTTGTTTTGTGGGGCTTTTTTGGCAGAGGGGGCATTAGATTTATTTTTTATTTATTTATTTTAATGGAGGTACTGGGGATTGAACCCAGGACCTTGTGCACGCTAAGCACGCGCTCTACCACTGAGCTATGCCCTCCCCACCATAGTTTCTTTGTTTGTTTGTTTTTTTTTTTTTAATGCTTCTTATTCATCTATAAGGGCAAAGAGCAATCCAGGTCCAGATCATGCAGGATGAGTTCATATTACTGTTCGCAGTTCGAGGGCTAGTCATTTTCCAATTATAAAGTAGTCATTTCATTCCTTCTCTCTCAGTATTTCCTGTTGCAGGAAATGAGTTCCTTAGGCCCTGTCCCAGAGCAGCTGTCCCTAGACTCAGGTCTCACTTCAGCCTGTCTCGGGAGCCAGAAAAGGAAGCTACGATGCTGGTTCAGAAGAGTATTCAGATCTGGTTATGTCTTTGTTTTCACAATTGACTTTTCATCTTTTGGGGAGGAAGAATTAATTTTTTTATTTTTTAACATCTTTTTAAAATTTTTTATTGAGGTGTAGTTGATTTACATTGTTAGTTTCCAGTGTACAGCAAAGCGATTCAGTTATACATATACATACATATTTTTGGATTCTTTTCCATTATATGTTATTACAAGAAATTGAGTATAGTTCCCTGTGCCATACAGTAGGTCCTTGTTGTTTATCTATTTTTTATATAATAATGTGTATCTGTTACTCCCTAACTCCTAATTCATCCCTCTCCTGCGGGTACTTTTCGTCTTTATTTATTTTTATTTGCATTTCTCTACCTGGTTGGTTAGCCTGAAAAGAACTTAACTAAAGGCAAGAATGGCCCTTCTTGTTGCTGGTGCCTTTAAGCTCAGAGCATGCAGCCAATTGGATCTGACCATTGGTTACCTTCAAATCTCAAATATTTCACCTTGCCCACTTTATCATTCAAATTTCCAGCCAAAGACAGTTAAGTATCTCTTGAACTGTCTGAATTAGAACTGTATTCAGATAATTTACTCATCCCTTTGGGCCCCAATCCATCTGCCTCTCAGGAAATTAAAAAAAAAATCTGTTAAACAAGTCACTGTCACTCATTAACGAAGCCCACTAGCTACTTCGTTGTTTAAAAAGTAACTCAATACTCTCTCCAGTTTTTCTGTTCTCCTTCCACTTCCCTGTCCTTGTTTTCCATTTCTCTAATGTTTGCGCCCCACCCACCGGACAGTCAGCTGCGTTCATCCTTTGTGCTGCTCAGTCTTCAGTGAGCTGTGCGGGTCTCCTGGAGACAGAGGGCAGTTTGGGGGAAAGGCGAGCCAGTTTGGGTAATTTATATTCTTGGAGTGGAAGAGATGCGAGTCCAAAGAGCAGACAGCCTTCCACAGATTTGTTGCTCAGGAACCCCCGTCCTCCATCTCATTTCACTTCTTCCACCCCCACGCTCATGCTTGAAGAGGGTAGTGAACGTCTTGGAATAAACCTAATGCTTCTCTCGCCAGAACTGACCATCATCTGACGTCACGGCGCACAGCAGAAGAATGCAGTTCCCGCTGGGCTGTGTGTCTGGCTCACACCTCTGTGTCTTTTTGTCTTTTCTTGTTTCCTCCCCGCTCAGTCTTCCATCCGGTCGAGTGTTCCTACTGCCACAGTGAGAGCATGATGGGGTTTCGCTACCGATGCCAGCAGTGCCATAATTACCAGCTCTGCCAGGACTGCTTCTGGAGGGGGCACGCCGGCGGTTCCCATAGCAACCAGCACCAAATGAAAGAGTACACATCCTGGGTAAGGCGAAGTCTGGGCAATGCTTCCGGCTGGATGTGTGCGTGTTGTGCAGAACGCAAGGGATTCTCAAGGATGGTGACAGAATCAGGGGGCAAACTTACCTTCTTCTCCAAAATTCCTTCCTTTCCCCTTCCGCTCCCCATCTTACTGGGACCCCTCACTTATTGTGTCTGAACTGGTGTAGCTTCCTGACTTCAAATATCGGAAGACTCAAACTATATCACTTCTTGGAATACAGATAATTCAGTATTGATTTAGGTTAGCAACCAAATAGCAAGCACCCTCTGGAACATAATCTCATTTTCACAGTAAGTTAAGATTCTTTTCAAGTTTGGGGGATTTTTGTGTGTGTATGTGGGAATTGGCTAAAAATTTTCATTAGTTCCTTTTCTCTGAGCTTCTGGAATTTTCTTAAGTGCACAGAACACTCAGGAAAGACGTGTGAACGTATGGGCTTCACAAGTCTGTTCCATTTTAATTTTTTGGAAAAGGGGGAGATTGTGGTTATATTAGAAAATCATCTTTTCATGAATAGTGCAAGTGACTAACTTTCTGAAGGTGACCTGTGAGAGTGACTTGCTAAAGGTGACTTGTCCATGTGATGAATGTGTTTTCAGGAACACAGGGCACTGGGTCTGTGGGAGGAGTTTGACTCAGTGAGCTTGCTGTTCAAGTGGTTTACAGTTTGCTGAACCCCATCTCAGTTAAACTCAGAGCAGATCCAGTGATGTTGTTCTCATGCTTCTGTGAGTGTACTGCTCTCTACACAGACTGGTTTTTGTGGGATGTGCTGTGAGTCCTGCCAACCCCTCTCAGAATAGTTCTATCACAAGAAAATGCAAACTTTTTAAAGAGTGTTTTTTTCTATATTTTAATGTATTTCAAATCAACCTATAGTCATTACTTAAAGAGTAGCTTGTCTTATTTTTTTTTAAAAAAAGGTTTTCAGAATACACATTTCAAATCAGAATGTTCTTTCTAGGAATTATCTTTGGAAACTGACATTCAGTGTAAATATATTAATGGTTTAGCACATGTCAGATTCTGAGTTCAAGTAAGAGTTCTTCACTAAGACTTTGTATACTGAGGGCTTGAAACCAGTTCAAATGCCACCTGTCACTGCTGGCTTCATCATATGCTGAGAACAGATATACTAATACAGATGATGAAATACAATTTAGCAGAGAAGGTAGGGGAAAATACTATTTTCTTATTGTCGGTGTAGGACCAGTTTTCAGGTATGACCTGTCCCAAATTCTAGAGGGTTGGTGTTTAAGGACTAATTATTTTTCACTGTTATTTTATGTAAATGCTGAAGTCAGATAAGAAGCCTTTTTCTTAGAAGTTGTAGACTCAGCAATTATATGGCAGGACAGTTTCTTTACAAAGTAGGATCAGACCACTCGAGAGAACCAAGGAGCCCCAATGTTTATGGGGTGAAGAGCTGCTGTTTTAAGTGTTCTAAGAATTACATCTCCTGGGGAAATTCAAAGCGGGACTTCTTTTCATTATTTAAAGTAGCTTTTAAATAATGAGGACAAAAGTCACTTCATTATAATGTCAATTATGGACTCTGTGTGTTCAAAAAATGACAAAATTATAAATCACTTCTCCTGAAAAGGAAAAATTGGGGTAGAGATTTCTTATATGTGGAAGACTGTTTTTGATAATGTTGGCTGTGAGATATTAAGATAAACATTCGCTAGTCTGAATGAAAAAGAGGTAGCGTGGTGCTCTGGGAAGAACGTGAACTTGACATTCTGAAGACTCAGACTGTTCCACTGGCTCGTCCATCTGGCTGTATCCAGCCACACCCGAAACATCTTGCACCTGGATTCCTGCAGAATCTCCTGTTCGGCTCCTTCCTTCCACTCCCATCCCTCTCAGACCATTTTCTGATCTTAAGCAGAAGCAGTCAGTCAGGTCTGATCCTGTCACCTCTGAGATTTAAATCCTTCATTGTCTCCCTCTGCTTTTGGGGCAAAGACCACAGTCCTTCCTGGATGCCGTGTATAAAACTTTAATGATCTGCCTCCTGCTCTCCTGTCTAGAGAAGGGTCTCCTGTTCTTCCTCTGTCTGGAATGACCTTCCCAGTTGCCTGAGTTTTTGTCCAAAGGACCCCTGCTGTTGCTTAAGTCCAGCTCATAGGTCCTGTGCACAAGGACTGCTTCATTTTTCACAGCCTTTGCTGCCAGTAAGCAGCCCCAGGCAGGAACCCTGGTGGCTTATTCTGAGCATCTTATTCCCAGCCATGAGCAAACTCCCTGACTTAGACACTCAAAGAAGATTCCTTGAATGATGAATGAATGAATATCTACTATAAAGCAAATCATCTGAGAAAATGTTCCATAGATGTCGACTGTTATCCCTTCTGCTTTTCTTCTCCCTTCCAGAAATCCCCCGCTAAGAAGCTAACTAATGCATTAAGCAAATCTCTGAGCTGTGCTTCCAGCCGTGAACCCTTGCACCCCATGTTCCCCGACCAGCCTGAGAAGCCGCTCAACTTGGCCCACATCGTGTGAGTATCCCTGCCCTCCAGACCAAGACACGTCTCTCCTCATTGACACCCAGGCAGATCCATACAAAGACAGTTGATTTCATATCCACCGTCCAGGGCCAAGTTTTAAATTTTCTTTTCTTTAAAAAAGGGTGAAAGTCATGTTATGATAACTTTTTTCTTGGAGGAATATACCATACTTTTGTCCAATTGTACAAGTATGCAGCGCTCTTGTCATTCACCTTGAAGTGGAAAATATTCAAAAAGCTTAATTATAAAATAGGATGTTAGTGGAGTTCGCACAATGGGATGTTAATAATCAATGGAATTACTGTAGTAAGGAATTTTAAGGTACGCTGTACCCTAGTATCATACATGCTTTGAGCCCCAAATATAGAAGCCCCTTGTTTCCTTTCTCTGCCGAGCCAGTGATCTTGGAGACACCAGCAAACCTGGAAATTGTGGCTGCAGTTGAATCCCAAGCTACTGGAATGGTGGCCTGGGCGGGGGAAGGTTGAAGAGGGGG